TAGACTGCTTCTTTAGCAGGATCATACCCACAGAATGTATCCACGGATGCTGCGCTCAGTAATTACTTATTTTCACCAGGTGGGATGTGAAGCGGCAAAACATGGACTAGTTAAGTCCAAAATATTTCCCACGCTACCTGAACTGTGTCGGTCCCAGAAACTGCACGAGACGATGATAAGGCCTCGTCTCGCATCGCTTGAGAGCTCGCAACCCAAATGTTAGGATATTAAATGTAAGTAGCCTGGTAACGCCTGGTAAAAGCACATTGAAAAACAAGCAAACTTAGTCGCTGGCAATGTCATTTACATAGTAAAGTGAGTCAGCAAACACACGATCTAAGATGACGGCTGCTTATTGCTTATGTACCTAATGGGGGCATCAACGAAATGGTGTAGTGGTACCTGTAGCGTCAAGTCCAGCGGATCCGCACCAAACCATTCCAGCGCCCAGTTGCAAGATAAATCTGCCCAACAAACCTCTGGGAGATTGAAGCCGCCTAGCACCGGACACATGTTCGAAGAGTGAGTGTGTATAGACTTAACAATCCCCTCGAACTTGTTCATAGGTCTTCTGTGCACTAGCGCGACAGTAAACTGAACCAAGGAAGCGCAAAGCACGACTGTTTACTCCACAACAGACTTGTCCACCTACTGAAAAAGTCTGGTTTTCAATGTGACTAGGCGATAACTTACTTATAGAGCTACACCAGCCCCTTGACAGCCAATGGAACGGTCAGCGCTAACCACTGCGTAACCAGACAGGTATACTACGTCGTCCTTAGTTTCCTGAGACAACCGGGTTTCAGTGAAAGAAAGTATATCTGGGCTAATTTTATCTAGGAGCAGACACACCTCGCAACTATTGTTCCTCAGAATACGCATCTTGCTAAGCACTATTTGAATAAATTTGGAATGGTCTGCCCCTGGATCGTGCGCAACTGGAATAGGTCCTGGCAGGGATGAAATGGACTGCCTATTGACCACCTGAAAACCCACCAATCGGAGACCCTGCTCGCCAGCTGCAGTTAGGGCTTTTAGGTCGCTGCTAACCTTCTATAACTTTAACCTATCCGCTACCGTGAGGTCAGGTTGCACACTAACATTACTACGTTTGAGCTTAAAGAAAAATCGTCGAAACGTGCTGTGCTCCTCCGGGGTGGATAAAACCACTAGTCAGGTGAGCTCGACGATTTGACTGACCAAACGGAACGTTCCGGTGGGCTTCAGGGCAATAACGCCAGTGAACGCTGGTGGGTAAAGCTTGGTTACGCAAAGTTAAACCAACCAACGTCAACAAGCATGCACTCAGTGGGAAGTGCAGCAGAGGATTCAGTGACGTTTCTGAAAATCACATCGCTATCTGTGTAGGAACCGACCCGACGGGTTGTATTCACTCCACATATTCTGCTGTCCATACCACGTGGCTTATAATTTGCGATCGGTAGGACCGTAAGTGAGGGCCCCTCACGTTTCCCTGAGGGACTTTCAGCAACAGAAAGTGGTGCCTCCAGCCAAGGCTGTTTCATACTGTGTGTTGGTTCACCTCCTGCTTCGGGAAGTTGCCTTCATGCTCTTCATCTTTTTCAGCCCAGGGGCGCGAAGACTACTTTTCGACCCAATGTACCGGTAGGTTATGCCTCACTTAATTTAGTTGATAACAAATTGGGTCGCTTGAAGCGATCAGGGGTGAAATCTAGTGTGTAGTACTCAGACTGGGTGCCCCATGTTGAGGCTGACGTAGCATTCATGATGCTTCTTCACCGCAGTCGGGCTAAAGCAACTTACACTTAAACTAGGTCTTTTTAAAGTGGATAAAATTGATTACATTTTATTTGCTTTGTTCTGCGTACTTGATAATCTTCTCCCAACTTGCACATGTAGCTCATGCAAATTGTGGTAAACTTGCGTAATTTTATCTCGTGGTATTTTTTAAATAACTTTCGGACCTTTTGTACTTATCGCGTATTCACCTTTAACCAATTTCTTCCATATGCTATTTTACGAGTATTTATGTCGTCATATGCATTTACTTTATTCGATATCGACATTTTGAATGATTGGCTGTTGTTTGATATCCCCGGTGTGGCTGCGCTTGATGTACATGTTGACAAGGTGCCTACCTGGCTATTACCCACTACCTCGTCCATCTGGCTCCAGGAGACAGTTGGTCGTTGCTGGAGGGGACGGGGTGCACGGTCCTTGTGGTCGTGCTAGGCTCGAGAGTGGTTCCATGCACTCAGTGTGGAGCGGACTACGGTCCAGGCACCGCCTTGTGTGCACTTGATTCCCCAAATACAGCGTGCTTGTGTTTGCCTGTGAAGGAGTGTGGGCCGGCTCTGTTGATGAAACGTGGCTCCCATCCACATGCCACCCGGTCTTATTCCTTCGTGTTTACACTGGATATGGGTGTGTGGTTGGAGCTGTGAGTGGTGCAGCGCAAGCCAGTCATGGTCCCTCTGTAGGCGCAGGCGTCCTGTGGCTGGCCACAGTGACAGGCAATTCCGAAACCGGATGCTGCCAACCATACTCAGAATGGGAAGCGCGCATAGTGATAGTGAATGAGGTAAACGATACCATCCGATTATGTGAAAATCTCTCAACCGGCCTGAACGCAGCATTTAGTCTCCATCAATAACCGCTGACACTACCAGGGGCTCCTTTCACCAGATGTAATTGGGATCGGATTTATGCTACAGTAATTTGTGCAGTACCTTTTTCGTTCTGTAAGCACCAAACACAGGGACTTCCTTGTGCTAAATATTGTCGAATAAAGCGACTAAACAGTCGTCAACGAATCATCATAGAGTATAGTCAACAACGATGGCGGAAGGTCTTACAGCCGCCGTCAGGATTCAAGCAAAAATATATACAGTGTCTGGAAGCTCAAGCGACGTGGCGCCACAGGGAATCTGGCCGAATTATGCAACTTATGCAGGAAAACAAAATCACATAATTAAAAATCAAGCCTGCACAGAAAACGAATCAAAATGATTTGTTCAGGAAGGTTAGTGCACTACTTACTACAAACGGCTGTGTGACTTGTATCCGAAAAGCTCCTCCCTATAATCAGATCAGGGTGTTTTCTGTCACAAAAACATTAGTTCCTGTCCCACACACCCTTAAGTCCTTTGAGACCACATAAAATTGGACGCGCATACAATTGTAGTTCGATTTACAGTGACGAATTTTTGTTTTATTCATGCGGTGGCTATATCTTGTGTTCAATTGAGCAATGCAGACCCATCCATGGGGCTTGACTTGTGACACTCGTCTATAGTCCCTAAAGGGATAACAGCAACTAAGAATAGCACAAGTTAGAGCTGAGTCCAAACTGGTTCAAGTGTGCTATTTGCTCTCCAAGGTGCTTATCTCGGTGTTCTGGTCGGCGTGATCAAGATTGAATCAGATGTCCAATCTTCTCAGCTACCGAAGCCAATTTTGAACTTGTGGATCTAAAAACTAGATCAGAGCATGCGTCTCGATGCAGGATAAACGAAGCACGAGTACAGAATCTAGGCTAATTTTTGGCACAGGTTCAGTTAGGAGAAAAGTGTTAAGAATATGGATTGCTGTCGCCAGGTCTTCCTATAGAACTGAATTTACGGAGGAGTAGTAGGGGGAATTGAATGGTATAGGTAGCAATTCGTCACATCTAGACTTACGCAGACAGCCATCACGCGGCCGGAAAAGCACTATATGCGCTTTTCATCCTTTTGAAATTGGCCAGCAGTGCGCATTCCAACGGACCCTGGTAAGGCTCGAACCCGTAACTCGACTGTTGCCACTCCGTGGTTGAGACCACTTAGCTACGGGAGACGGAAACGAACATCGTGAAGGGGCTACATTGTTCTCTGCACGGGGTAACGTGTAAGGCAGTGCATAGTAAGCGGCGCTATATCACACCTAGTAACTTATTTATGATGGTCGTTGCCGTCCTCCGTAGCTCAGTGGTCTCAACCACGGATTGGCAACAGTCGAGTTGCGGGTTCGTGCCCTACCAGGGTCCGATGGAATGCGCACTGCTGACGATTCCCGAAAGGAGGAAACGCGCGTATATTGCATTTTCGAGCGTATGATGGCTGTCTGTGTGAGCGTAGATGTGACGAATTGTTACATATACCATTCAATTCCACTACTACTCCTCTGTAATCAGTACGCAGACTAAACTGCTTATACTATCATTAGGTGCTTGGCGGATTAAGTTTGCTAAGCTCGTCGCTTGTTGATAGGGCTACCCTGTACTCTGCATGGCAGTAAGGTGTAAGTCAATGGATAGTGAGCGGAACTATACCACATCTAGTAACTTATTTGCGTTGGTCGTTGTGGTCCCCCTAGCTCCGTGGTCTCAAGCACCGACTGGCAACAGTCGAGTTGCGAGTTCGAGCCCTACCAGGGTCCGATGGAATGCGCCCTGCTGACGATTCCCGAAAGGATGAAACGCGTATACAGTGCTTTTCCTGGCATGTGACGGGTGTCCGAAGGAACTGTATATAAAGGTCCACACATCCCTTGCGAAGGAAAATGGAGGTAATAAGAAGGTCAGAAGCTTCCTTGAATTCGTAGAACCTGACCCTGGACAATGTACAAATAATTCCAGTTACATTCATAATGAAGTTTTAAATTTTTGTTTCTCTAACACCCATAAAACATCAATGTTAACGCCAGTTGTTAACAGCGGCCCATTTAAAACACTCCATCTCCATGTTTCGTGGGTTCCGGGAGGTGCCAATGTTAAAGATAGTAAAGGTGTTTTCGTCTATAACTTCGTACTCGAATTTCCGATAAACCGTCTTCTATTTGACGCAACGGATGTACTTCCATCTCCAGTGATAATCACATAGTTTCGATTGATGAGGCGTAAACATGTTCGGAACAGACGACCTCAACTGGAAACGCTGTGCAAATGCGGATAAAACTAGTTTCTTCGATTGTTTTTATTCAAGACGTGGTAATGAAGTTTAACCAATTCACCTGATCCCATGCCTTCTACCTAACTATAGCCGATGGCGCGAGTTTTGGTGAGCTGGCCCTAATCAACAAAGATTGCGTTCGCAACGCGTCTGTCATTGCCGACTGCCCAACGGAATTAATCGTCATCAACCGGGCCACCTACAACATTTCGTTGCGAGAGATGCACCTAGAGGAATTCCGTCAACGTCAGAAGTTCGTGGATAGTTGTCCTATTTTTGATGGATGGCACCACAGTCTGAAAAGACAAGTTACAATGTCTCTGAAGCGTATCGAGCTTCCATACAATACTCAGGTGGTTCGTCAGGGTGAGACAGTCAATGGTCTGAAATTCCTACTAAGGTGAGTTACTGCAAATGTTTTGACCTCTATATGATGCAGATTACATAATTCCCCTTCAACGAAGAGGTATTTATAGCAAATGCATCCCCACATCTTAACAATGGCCATAACCTAATAGAAATGCGGTTGAAGCGCGCAGGAGCCCGCCCGATTTAACTGCTTAGCGGGTGTTTGTTATTATCCGTTAAATCGTCAAAGTTTTACGCACACTTCACAACCCGAACCTCACCGCAATGGAGCAAAGAAGCAACGGTTTATAACGGGTGTAAAGCGAATGCTTGACATGTCCTGTAGGATAGTTAGAGTGGTAATTACAACATAAATACCAGTGCCAGTAAAGGAATGCATGAAATACAGGACTCACCAAAGGGTTTGGAGTGATTCATGTGCCGGTAGGATTATGACACTGTCCACTGTTAGTTGTGCACTAATGCCAGCATCTGATGGTCATGGGCTATATCACGTAGTGTACATGTGTCCGAGTAAATTCAAGGCCTTTTTGAAAACGGATAAGGTAGCAGCATTAATTGAATGTTCCGGGAGCGCATTTCATGGCTGTAACACACGGAGGGAGAAAAAGTTTTGTCGACCTACCAGTCGGTTGTACTGCGTGGTCAGGTTAACCTGATGACCCCTTAGAGATGTGCTTTGACTGCGTATCAAAAGCGAATGGCATGTGTGGTTAAGATTTCTCAGGATCTGGGGCAGCATTATGAGATCGGCCCACAGAGACGCCGATAAGGTCCACGGTATATTTTGAGGGTTCTCTACCTGAGCGGTTAGGGAACGCGCAACAAACTGACGTTATTTTTGCACTATCGAGCGCGATGAGATGGTGCTTCAGCCAGGGTTGCAACGCTTGAATAGCGTATTCTGCGTGCGGCCTCACGTACGCGCTAAGGATTTTTGGAAAGACAGGAGTCAAACTTCCCGAACGCTGTACGAAGGAGACCAAAGTGCTGGCTTGATTTCCTTGATGCCTTTTCAGTCTGCCTCAAACAACTGAGGTCCTGTTGCACGAGCACGCCGAGATCGCACTCATGGGAAGCCCACTGTACTATTCGTGGTCCTAGGTAGTCTTCCTGAATACTCTGGTTTCGTATGCTGAAAAATTTGCACTTGGTGGTGTTGAACTACATTAATTGCTCGATGGGCCATGGGTTATCTTGTAAGGCTGCGTGGTTCCCCAGTGTAGCTATAGCACGCTATGTCTGTCGATCAGCAGCAAATAGCAGACAGTTGGAAGATAGCACGCTTGCGATATCATGTATAAAGACTAGGAACAGGCGGGGACCGAGTACCGAACCCTGAGGTATGCTGTACTGAACTTCGATTGGTTACGACAGGACGCTTCGGACCCTCACATTCAGGTGACGTTGCACGAGAAAGTCTCCTATCCAGTCCAAAAGGGGATCTACGATTCCATATTTCTGGAGTTTGTGCAGTCGAATCCGGTGATCTAGACGGTCGAATGCATTTGAGAAATCCAGGTAGGCCGCGTCGACTCTTATACCAGCGTTCACCGATTCCGTCCAGCTTGCACGATCTATCAACAGATTAGTACTACATGACCGAGTTTGACGAACTCCGTGCTACTCCGGAACGAGAATTTTGTTGTTCTCCAGGTATCCCATTAAAGTTGCAGCTACAATGAACACCATAACGTTGAAGATCACTGGAAATACTGTTATCGGGCGACAATTTGCTGGTTCAGCTTGGCTATCACTTTTGTAGATTGGAGTGATGATCCCGTGCTTCCACATCATGGGAATGTGCACCTCGTTAAGACATCGGTGAAAGAGAATTGCTGGTGGTTCCGCTAAATTCATGGCGGAAACTTTCAGTACCTTCGGGTGAATGCCGTCTGTACCCGAGGAGCTGAACTCGCACAATGACATCAGCCTCTTCAGACAGGTATGGAGGTAAACGATCTGTGATTAAGTCCTGATGGCGGCATGATCTGCGTAGGCATGACGTAAAGTGATTGCACATTTTGGAAGATATAGCCAAATTTTTGTCAAACTACCTTGACCTCCTATTTTGCCGATTGTTCTAACCCGCATGCTGTGTGCAGATCAGGAATTCCGCGCTTAACCCGGCGCAGTTTGTTTACGTGCCTGTATGGCAGCTTGGGATTAAAGCAAAATGTTTCTACTAGGTCTTGTTGGTTGTTTGGTTTATCCTCTTTGACCAGTTTGACACAGTGGTGCCTTTGTGTTGTGTAGACATCCCAGGTGTCCTCCCTCAGAGATGCTATATTGGTGAACTTTGCCAAGTCCCTCAATGCCACGCATTTACTTGTCTTACTTCTTACCAAATACTTCACCATTTTAAGCCGGGGGATTTTTCTTTCAGATGTGCTTGTCACGAGCTTGTTGAATCTGATGACGAATTCTCCACAGGCCATCTCAAAGGCGTATTCCGCTAGGAACAACCAGCTTGCTGCACCAAAGGAGGTAGGACAGGTCGTCATAGTAACTTACGACGCCAGATTCCACGGCAGGCTCTTTAAGTTACTCCGCGTAGCACATGTACTAGAATGCTAGAGTCGCATGATCGCTGCGGCCCAAAGCAGTGCACACTGTAAATAGGTCGATGATGAGTTCTTCGTTGATGAAAGCGGGATCCGAGATGGCCAGTTTGTTTCCTCTCCTGAAACGCGTTGGGGAAGTGACATGGTCGTATAACGGTGAATCAGCAATTAGGTCTTGCAGTTCCGCCTTGAATTGTTCACCGAGGATGGCCGAATATTTCTAGGCAGTGCAGCTTGAAGTCCCCCACAAGGAGTACGTGGCTGTAAGAACGTGCAAATAAGTCTTTCATGGCAGAGGCTGTCAGGTACGTTTCCAAAGTAGACATTGGTGGACGGTATACAATAGCCACTAATCATCTATCATCTTGCCTTAGGTGTAGGCAGCACCATATGGCGTCCACGGTTCCAATCCCAGGGTCGTTTACGAGGTTGATGAATTGGTCAGAAATGTAGTAAAGAATTACACTCCCTCCCTTTGTGTGTCGGTCGTCGCGCAACTGTGACATACTAGGTAGTGTGATCTCAGCGTCGGTAATCACGTCGTTAAACCATGTCTCGGTTACCAAGATGAAGTCCCAAGACCTTGAGTTTTGACGAGATCGAAGCTCTGCCAATTTGCTGGGAAGGCCTAGTGTATTTGTATCCAAACAATTTAGAGCAGCGGATGCAAGAGGCGTATCTGAACACACAAACAATTCCCGTGAATTTACGCCGGCTCATTGTAGGGCGGGCTGGAAAGCATTTTTTGGACGTAGTTACTGCCTACCCTCAAGTGTCATTTTGATTTGTTGCATAGAGCACCCACTACCTAATCTTTCGGAGGCGAATTTCAGCGGATTTTCTGTTCCTCCCTCTTCGGACGACCGACAGCGTTGCACTACGCTCTGCTTCAGAAATGCAGACAGCGGGGATAGCGACAACTTTTCGCTGGTTTTATGTCCTCGCAGCTAATGGTGGCCTGGCTTTGAGCGCCTGCAGACGTATTTTTCATGGTAATTTGATGCGGAACTATTGCCAACTTCCGAGTACCCTTTCAACCATTTGATTGAACTTTCAGCACCCTTGAACCACTTTCGTCGTAGTATGGTGATATGGGCAACATTGACGTTGAATTGGCAATCACATCGTGGAGAGAGAGGACTTCGAGGATATAGCACCATTCTACCAAGTCATGAGCTTGGACCTGCGACTCATCTGTTGGCTTCATTTCAGGGGCTCCATGGACAATGAAGGAACTTTCGTCGGTTTGCTTGCACTATTCTCCTGGGTTTTGCCTTATTTGACGAGGCTCACTCCAAGCAATATCAAGGAACATACGAACGTCTCATGAGGAATAACGAAGACGGTGAGCTGACAGGCGGGTGGTCTCCGCTTCGTCACCAGATTGTAATGTCACCTGAAGTAGCTGCGGCTCGCCATATTGAACTGAGTTTGGGTGGCAGTCGTTACGACACAAGCTAGTCTCTTTGGCCTGGATTCCAGTTGCTTGTTATATGGAGTCTCAGTGTTTCAGGTCATCCAGTAGTTTGTCTTTGATTGAGTTTGCCTTTGACTCAGGCACGTTAGAGTATATTATCTTCAGCAAGTTCTACGTCTTCTTAGTGTTCGTAATTTTGGATAAGAGAGCGTCTCCTTTTACTGACGGCCTGGTTGGAAGTCTTCTCGGGAGAGCATTGGTATTTGTGTCACGTCTAACAGTTTTGGAGTGGTTACAGACATGCCCGACAACTTTGCCGTGGGTCTACATGCAGCGAGGATAAATGCATATGTTGTCAGACGTTCGGTACTGTTAGGTAAACCAGAATACAATGGAGTATCATGTGGCACAGACACACCATCCGGTAAGACCAATCTCTGGAATATCAGAGTTGCCGGGGTTGGCTGTCCTTCTTTGCCCGCCTGATTGCAACTTATCGTGTTTGGGGTTGCTGGATGTACGCTGTTTACTATACACTGGATTTGGCTGTTCTGTTCCAAGTTTGAGCATATCCTTAAGCAAGCGGAGTCCAGTACGGCTGCAGCTGGTTCCAATGCGGCCGCTATATCAGCAGTTGCACGCTGTACAATCTTTGGTAGATTGTCACACTTCTCTGCCAGCACGGCGATGCATCTCACGAGTGGGTTAACTAAACACTTAGTACGATTCAAAGTAGTCTGGTGTGCTAGGTCATTCTGTTATTTTCGTTACGCCTACGCATCGGGGATGAAAGTTCTTTCCGCAGTTACTACAACTTATTGCAATTCGAATAGCCTTGGAGCACGATTTCAAGGCACAAATAACTTTTGATGTACTCATGAGTAGGGGATTTTGATGTAATTAATTGAGGTTCTTCGCAGCACGTGGACGACTATCTGATTTGAAAACTGGCTGCGAAGAACCTCAAATAACTTTTGTTTACGGTTGAGAGGACCGTATAAAAATCGTTTTCCTTGTTGCTGTGTTGCGAAACATTGCCGAAGTTTCAGC